CCCCCCCAAAAAAAAAAAAACAAAAGAGCTCGGGGCAACTACTATTCGGTCTACTCGTAGACTATCCACGATGGCGACGAGAACAACAAGCAAGAGGAATCTGCAGAATCACAGCCGGCTCCGTTCCAGCCATGGTCGATCGGCCCAAGATGGCTTCTTTGGCCGCTCGGCTTTGCCTGTCGTGTGTCGCCGCGATGATTGCAACTGCACTACTGCAACGATGTCGAATGCGACACTAATATTGCTAGCAGCTAGTGGCGGAAGTGTTCCTTCGAGTCGGCATCACGTCCTACATGTTTTCCTGCAACACGATTCCCAGTGGCGCATGTGGCGCCTTGTTTGTGAGATGAGTGTTACATGATGCCATGTGGAAACGCATCATTGCTTACATTTGACTGCGATGATCAAGGGGTTGGGCGGGTGGGAAAGGCAGGGTGTCTGTTCGGAGTGATGCCCGTGCTGCCCGCCGGGGAGAGAAGTGTTTGTTTGTCGACTTCGTCATGGGTGTCATCACGCTGCTGTCCCTTTTCGAGCACACGTCCACACGCACCGGATCTGCCCTCTTTGCAGAAAGATGCTGCTTGCGCGCGCTTGCCTATACGAGTCTGCACCTCCAGATGTATGCACTAGCGAGTTCTATCAAACAAGACATATTGTCCGATCATGTGAGATAGTCGTTTCAAAGCCGTTCAGGTTTTTGCAAAGACGTCCCATATCTAAACGGCACATTCTCGTTTTCGATTTTAACGACCGTTGGGCCTCACTGTGGTCCTCTGAGGCCACATACGTAACACCATTTCGGATCATGCCGCCTTGTCTTCCAATCAGGCCGCGGCGTCCTCAAGCAAAGGCTCAGTTGCAGCAACGGGGCTGCAACTCCGGGGTTCCTGCTCAGCAGACGACATGAGAACAGCATCCTGCTCCGGGCGTTTCTCTCCGGGCTGGGCCTATACTGGCGCGACGCCACCATTACGCGATTTAGGGTGCTTGGCCTGGAGGCAAAAAGGGTTTAGGGTGCTTGTCCTGTTTGCATTGGATGCGAGGAACTGGTCACGTGGGCGCGCACGCAGAGACACAAAGGCCCACCGCTGGCGTATCACAGCGAGCAAGTAATTGATTGGCTGTGAGAGTAGGGCGTCATGATGTCATGTGCTGAGATTCAATCGACGGTACAGATGTGAGGTTTGAGTTTCGTACGGTTCAGGAGGCGGCCTGGACTTGGGTATCACCACAAGGTGTGAGCTAACAATAAGAAGAGGAAGAGACGATGGCGCCACAAGCCAAATGCTCCAACCTGGACACCTCATGCAGCCGGCTTTTTAACTGAAGCCGGATAGTACGCGATCGCACCATTGAAGTTTTAACATCTGGATGGCAGTTCAGCGGAGCCTGGCCCTAACCTGGCACGGCTCTGAGCATGTGGAATCTCGACTTGACACCACCATGTTGCGGCCCCATGCTCCAGCTGACACGGACATGATTCAAATGCTGAACCCACTGCTTGCTGGAGGAAGAGGCCTGCTGCAGGTGGCGCCTGGAATCTACTTGGGCAACAAGCAGGACGGAGTTTCGTGGCTTTCTATCTTTGGCATGTCCCTGAGAGAGAAACCGAGCAAAACTTGTTGCGTTTCTCTTCGCGCGGGCGAGCAGATTCAATAGAGAGAGAAAATGCGTGGGTGTTCGAAATACTGCTTGTCCAGCACTGAAGAAATCGCAAGGCTTTTGTTGCTGATGCCTTCAGGCGGCTGCGAACGCTGAGCTTCTTGCCCTCAATGGCATCTCGGCGGCTCTCATGCTGTTCAGTTTTGTCCTTTGAGCCCTGGCCTTGCGGGAACACAGTTCAAGTTCTCCTTGTGCCCACAAGACCTCGTTTGAAGCTCGCAAGCAGGGCGTACCAAATCCCAGGTTTTCTTGGCCAGTGTACACAGCTAAGAAGGACTGTCGTTTTGGGAAGCCGGCTAGATTAAGGTATCACGGCTGTCTGCGCGATTGGTGCGAGGATCCTTTGCTGCCTTTTGTGGGAGCTTTCCTGCTTCATATCTACTACCATCAGCAGAACTGTATCACAGAACACGAAAAGTATCTACACAGAGAAGGAACGCAATTTCTTCCTTCCTTTGGCGCTTTGCTGCTTCAGGTTGCGGGCCCCCGAAGTAGGGCATGCCCGACTTGGGTTGTGGAACGCCGAGTTCAACGCTTTGAGCTTTCCAAGTGTTCATATTTCTTTGGAGATGCTGCAGGCTCTCAGGCTTTCGAGGCAGGAGTCGTGCGGGCATGAAACGTCAGAAGAAAGAGTGTCGACTGCGAGGCCCTACAACCATCCTGGCCTCGTCTACCACCACATCTCGGTTGAGGACTCTCCGTTGCCACAACCTGGCGATCAAGCTACAGGTCATGTTTTCAGTTCGAATATGTGCGTGTCGCAGATATACGTGCTCCCGACTGCCTCAAGCTTTCTTGCGCAGTCACGTACAGCCGCAACTTTTATTCCCGGCTTGGTTTGGGGCGAGTGGTAGTTCTCTTCGATGCCGGCTCGGTATAGGGTGATGTTGCCTGACGGATCAGAAATGACGAAGTCTAGTGCATTCCGGAGCACCTTCCGGTTGGCTCAGACGGAGTTTGAAGCGATTCCGGGTGTAGGATGATGGCAATACATGCTTGCTCGGCATGGGGTCTCACCTGTACACTAACCTACCGAAAGGGATGACACACACACGCACACACACACGTTTGTAAAATGCTTGTGGACGCATTGGCACATAAGCTGTATAAGTGCGCGTGCATGTACGCAAATGTATATAGAGAAGAAGCGTACTTTCATTCATTCACTCATTCCGGCATTCCCTTATTCCGTTCATATCACTTATCTTTTCCATCCAGTCATCCATCCATCCATCCAGCCATCCAACCATCCACCCATCCAACCAGCCAGCCAGCCATCCATCTATCTATCCATTCATCCATCTACCTGTTCATGCATATTCAGTTGTTCCCTCCCTCCCTCCCTCACTCACCCAGCTACTCATTCGTCCACTCGCGCACTCACTGACTCACTTACTGCCACTCACTCACTGATTTCGTAATTCAATCATCGTTCATTCATTCAGTCATTTCTTTAGTGTCCATCCATATACTCAAGCGCACAGTTCCTAACAGGCAGCATTTAATGCTATGTGCCCTCTACTAAATTTCGGCTCCGAGCACGTTATGCACGGAGTGATGCTCCCGCCTCGACTTTTTCTGGGCAGGATGATGGAGCCAGCTCCATTCTTCCTTTTCTGGAGGCACCGACACTCTCCTCCCAAACAACTTCCGCACGATCAAAGCCATGAGTGTGAAGTGGTCAAGCGGTGTCGCGCGCAGTCAGGCAGAGGGCACCGGCAGTTTCGGGTAACTAGTGGTTTCAACACGGAAGCTGGACTTGCAGTCGAACCCAAATTCAAGCATTAAGGCTCATCATGCAGAGAAGTGCAAAGAAAAGGATGTCTTGGCAAGGCAAGCTGCGACTTCATCCACGCACAAGCACGTCAGGGAGCAGTTCTTGTTCACTGCAAGGCCTCGATCAAAGCATTCTTGTAGATCAGGCTTGGAAGCACAGGATCAAGCAAAACTTGAAGATTGGATGGGCTCACGGCCAAGAGCTGATGTAAATTGCAAGGATGAGCAAAGCAAGTCACAGGAAACCCTGCACCGGCAGGGTGGCATCAGCCGCTCTCCTTCGCTACTGGTGGCATATCTGATGACGCCAGGATGCAGCGGCCAACTTTCCATGACCGGAAGAAAACTACAAAACTACGTCGGGATGACTTCAACTCGTGAGTATTGTGTCGCGGGTCGAGCTATGGAGTAAGGGCAGCAGTCGAGTCCCTCGTGAAAAAATGACTTCGGGATCTCTCGGCCCAAGTCTAGGGAGCTTTCGAGTAAAAAGGCGGTGATGAGAAACGCCCTAATAAGGACCACCTGCCCTGGCATTGCCCCGACACGCTAAGCCGCTAAGCCCCGCAGACGCAATCGCACCATTGAAGGCAGATAGGCATTTTCCTTTGGCGCTGCCCTGCACCCATCTAAGGAAGCATGAGCGGCTGGCTCTGTCCGAAGCCTTCGAGGTCTGCAGTGCCTCCCTAAGTCACTATAAGCCTGCATGGCACCTGGGGCGGGGGAACTGGGAGCCGAAGATCGGGCCCCTGAGGCCTGGCGCAGCCGGCGGCACGCTGCCCGGAGAACTTCCAGTGCGATCTCGAGGCTTTCACCGAGAGCGGCCTCGGAAGCTGTGGCTCAGCACATCTCCTGACACGGCAGTTTCAGTTCGAGTCTGTAGGGGCCGGGAAGAGAGCTCGCCATGTCCGCCATGTTCCAGATGCTTGCTTTTGCGGCTTTGGCAACTGTAGCCTCAGCAGACTGTGCGGTCGCAGAGGAGGCCGCCGAAGCCTCGCTCTTTCAGTTCGATCGGCGCCCTGCGGCTGGAGCTTGCGAGAAGCTTGTTGGACAGCATGATTTCGTGCACCAGACGGACTACAATCTCATTTCTCGCTTCGTCAGGGCCTTCTACGAAGCTTGTGAGGTGGTGGGTCTTTACACTTCTACTGTGGAGACCTTTCCTTTGACCGTGGTGAAAATGAACAACTTCAGCTCTTTGGGACTCGGTGTGACGAGCTACTGGCCCATGTTGAGCCCGGATTTCTTCGAAGCAGACACTTACTTGCCGTACACATCGGATGAGTACACTTTCCTCATCCGATGGCAAGCAGACCTGGATTTACGCATCGGGCTGTTCGCTGCCTCCACGATCCTGTACAAGTACACGCCGATGGCCATTGCCTACTATGCCTACACCGCCAGCGCTGCCCGAATCAGCAGTCAACCAGGGCCACAGATGCCCTTTGTACAGGGTCATGGGGAGAACTGGGAGGATGACGGTTTTGCAGGGCAGCTCGTAGGGAACACGCTTCTTGCCTGCATGCTGGAGAAGTCTGGAGATGGAGATGGCTGGACTTTGGACCTGTCGGGTGCAGGCACTTCAGCCGCACCTGTTCAGGTGATGAAGCGCAAGGCTGTTTCGGTTGCACCTGCCAGTTTGCTGAAAGCCATCGGCCACTTCAAGTGCGCAGACAGGAAATGTGCAAACGCACGAGACTTGCACGTGGTCCACATTGAAGTTCAAGACCCTTCATCCGGCATGATGCGTTTCTCACCCAAGGATGGTGCGCAATGGAGTCTTGCCAAGACCACGTTGTATGCTTTAGCCATCTTCGTGATAGAATGCTATCACACGGGCATCCACCTCTTCGCCGGCGCAGTCACCTCAGCCATCCGGAAAGCCGTTCCAGCCGGCACTTCCCTGGGCCAAGCAGTGAACCCGAACACCCTTCAGACTATTTTTGCACTCTTCGAGCAGGCACTTTGACACACCTTGCTTGGCATGCTCGATTGTCAGACTTTGAGGTGTTCCCTTTTCCTTTTTAGGATGCAACTTTCTGAAGAACTGCTAATTACCCCCTCTGTGAGAGCTCGCAGGCAGCCATCCTGCACTCCTCTCATGGCTCGGTCTTCACGGGTACGGTGTGGTCTTGTAACATCACTGCGGTTTGGGCTGTGACCAGGGAGATGAGCCAGTACTTTCTGAACACAGCGCCCCAAGACATTTTGGGCATGAGCGAAGATAGCCCAGATTGGTGGGCTGGGCGATCCTTCGCATTCGTAGAGCCCATCTCGACTTTTGCAAGCTTCGCGGCAGAGCAGGCAGTGAACCAGGCTTCTGAGCAATCCGTCCTGCAGAATCTGCAAGGAGAACTGGAATCGATCGGCATTTGGACCCCTCAGAGCTCCTTGAACGTGACCTCTGCAGAAGGCTTGGCCGCTCTCGTCAGGAACTTCCTCTTCGTGGCCGGCATTTGTCACTCGCACATGTACCTGACGCGTGAGGTCTTCACGCCTCTTGCTGGCTTTACTGACACAGAGCCCTTCCTCCCCTACCTGAGGAGAAAGCATACTTTATTGGGCTTTTGGGCTATTGTAGAGCTGTGCTTTCCAACTGTTCCAGCAACAGTTAACGAGATGATGATAATCTCTTACGCCACGGCCTCTGGATTCACGAAGGGAGTGCCAGAACTTGGTGATGGGAAGTATCCCAACAGTACAGAGCTTAACGGTGCCGTGGCCAGTTTCCAGCAGGGTCTGAAACGGTGCCGGCAGGAAGTCTACGAGATGTTCGGTGGGTTTCACAACAAGACTTTTGTTCCAGGGTACCTGTATCCTGTGGATGTGCCCAAGCCTTTTGGCTATGCCATCACGCAGACCGCATATGTTTGAGCCGAGTGCTTCAAAGGTTAAGCACTTGCTTTCCTGCCTTGAGGCTGAGTTGAAGTCCTTCTCTTTGACACGGCCTGAACGCAGAATGTTCGGAAGCCTGTTGTACAGCTGGAATGTGTTCGACATCAATTTCAGATCACTCCGAATCGAACTTGCGGGACGTTTCAAAACTGCTTGCCCCATGTTTACCGGTGCTCTCTGCCTGCATTTTGGCATGCTACGCGGGCTTGCCGCAGACCTGCAATTATGCCCCAGTGCTGCTCTAGACTGCCCAAGCTATTGCTTCTCATGTCTTTTCGCGGGATCAGGCCTGGGCGAAGCAGCTTGAAGAGCTGCAGGAAGAGCCTGAGGAGCCTTGCGAGAAGAGAGCTCGGGATGGGACTTTGCTTTAGGAGTTGGGCCGTTTAGGAGCCGTTTCGGGATACCTCTTGAGTCTTAGCTGGTCGGTTAAGGGTTGCTGTAAGCATGTCCCGCTGCAGAGTTACAGTGATTGTTCTTCAGGGGGTCCAAATCAGTTGAAAAGCATCTCGCAGCTGCAGCTCTGGACATTGCATCGGCGGCTGGGGCAGGACGACACTGCTGAAGGCGGCGGTGAAACGATTCAGGCATTGGATGCCGGTTAAGGTATCAGGGCTACTGTGTGCAAACATCTTTCCAGCGTTTGTCGGTTATGGATGTGAGGATAATGCCGGATAATGCATGTTCCTCCGCTTTTGTGTCATCTGCACTGGTGTCACTGGCGACCATCGGCCGGTGGCAAACCCGCTCCCCTGTGTACAGCATGCGGCAATCCGACGCCGGACTTTTGTACAGATGCGCCCCGTCTGGTCACCGAGTAAAAGGAGGTCCAGCTCAAATCCAGCAACGAGTCATAAGCTGCCGCGCATCTTTAAGCCGGACAAGCCTGGCCTAAAGACTTTGTGCACGACTGTATATTATTGTTAGTCTATAATTTGTTATATTGTATGCTAGAAGTAGATTCTATATTGTTTTATAAAGTATACTGTGTTTCCATTCTGTTACCTGATATATTCTATCAGATTCTATTTTATTCTGGTGTCTTACAGTCGATTCCCTTACAGTTTCGTGCGTTGCATGTTGCTGTAGTGTAAGGTGTAGGTTATGATGTACTATGTCGTGTTATATTATCTTGGACTACACAATTTACTAGTTCAAACCACGTCATGCCAAGTGGGAGCCAAAAACCACGTCATATCACACCATATCAGTTCACATGACGTCATAGCATGTCGTATCATACTACGTTTTATTATGTCATTTATGCACTCATGTCGTATAATGTTTCGTTATATTGCATTCATAGTGTCTTGCCTTGTGTTGTATTATACTGTACTATACTATGCCATAGTAGCTTGTGCCATGTTATAACGTGTTAGAATATGCTAGATTCTGTTCTATCCCAGTATAGTATTACATGTAGTGGTACTTGTAACCCAGCTTAGTGATTCGCTCAAAAATGCAGGAGGCCAAAATTTAATTATACTGTATTATAGTATATCATCTCATGTTGTGCTTTATTGTGTTATATTTCTTAAAATAGTATCATGTAACATCATACAAAACATGGCATACTATGCTATATGAGATTATATATTACATGTTCTAGATTATACGTGATACATTTTATATTCTACATTATATAACACATAAGATACTATACGGTATCATATTTTGTCATGGTATCTTATCTTATGTTCTATTGATGTTGTATAATGATGTTGTATAATGCTACATACTATATACCAGATACTGCAAACATTAAAACTTTACACTACAGGCTCTACACTAGACTTTGCCATGCCATGTGTTGCGATGTTATATCACTGTAAATTCTATTATATCCTATTCCATTCTGTCAAATTATGTCCAGGTATGTTGTATTACACCCCTTTGCGCCTGGGCCCTAAACCCCTAAACCCCTAAAAAAAACCCTAAACCGCTAAACCCTAAACCCCTAAACCCTAAACCTTTTGGGAAAGCTCCGAAAGGCCCTTTCTCCACAGCCGTCTCGGGCCTCGACTTCTCCGCTGATGGGGCCTTGCTGGCCGTCGCAGCTGCCCGGACTGGCTCGGCGGGTTCCCTTAAGGGTTCCTTTTAAGGGGTCCCTTTAAGGGTTCCGGGGTCCTTTAAGGGGTCCTTTAAGGGTTCCTTTAAGGGCTTCACCATGGGTTCCCTTAAGGGTTCCTTTTAAGGGTTCCTTTAAGGGGTCCTTTAAGGGGTCCTTTAAGGGCTTCACCATGGGTTCCCTTTAAGAGCTCCTTTAAGGGGTCCTTTAACGGTTCCTTGAAGGGGGTCCTTTAAGGGTTGCTTCACCACGGGTTCCCTTAAGAGTTCCTTTAAGGGGTCCTTTAAGGGTTCCTTTTAAGGGGTCCTTCAAGGGGTCCTTTAAGGGGTCCTTTAAGGGTTCCCTTAAGGGCTTCCCCAGGGGTTCCCTTGAGAGTTCCTTTAAGGGGTCCTTTAACGGTTCCTTTAAGGGGGTCCTTTAAGGTGTCCTTTAAGGGCTCCTCTTTTTTAGGGGGCGTGTTGGTCTGTAGGGTTTTGGGGTTCAGGGTTTCAGTCGGTGGTATTTAGGCCATCGGCGGTTAGGGCTCTACGGGCTCGTCTACGGGCTCGTCTTTCGAATCACTTGGACACCCAACAACCATACTGCAGCTTCTCTGTGCGATTCTGCGGCTTCGGGCTTGGGATGATGGCTTCAGGACTCCTACACAAGGTATTGTTTGGGGTTTGGTGAGGGGCTAGTGGTTTTTGGTTAATGGTCTTGATATCAAGGGCTCTACAAGGGTTCTATTTGGGTTTCACAGGCTCTTAGAAGGCCTTGATGAGGCTTCTAGATTTGTTTGACAAGTGTTTTGAACCGTATGCTGTTTAAGCTTTTTTAAGGTTGCCACAAGGGTTCTAAAATCGAAAAACAAGCCTAAACCTTGAACCCTAACCCCTAAACCCTAAACTCCCTAAGCCCTAACCCAGTATTAGGGTTTTCCATCGTTCAAGGTTCTTCAAAATAAACGGGGGCATTTCGCTTTGGGGCTGTTGGGACGGGGTGCGATGTCTTTCTTGGACCCCTGCCAAAGTTGCGCATAAGGTAGGTTTGTGCTGCTTAGGGCTTACCTGGGGCCCAAAAGGCCTACCTTTTTAAGGAATTATATATATATATATACATATATATATATACATATACGAGAGAGGCGCCTCTAGGGGCTATTGGGCGCCCTATTTCTTTCCTTTATGATTGGAGAGAATATAAATAATTCAAACAATTGACATGATTAACTCCATGTTCAGACGCGCACTTGTCTGGAAGGCAGAGGCCCGCTTCGTCCACGGCAAGGTCTTGCGGCATTATCCTGACCATGAGAAGGACGGTATTTTCGAAGCTGATCCCAGCCTGAGCAAGTTGCCGTCCACCTCGCAAGCGTCTATTGCAGGACTAAAGCTTCAATGGGCCTTCGAAATGGATCACAAAGAAGATTGTTACCAACTCATCGAGGACTACTGCAATGGAGGCGATGGTCGTTTGACCGAAGACATCATGAGGGAGGCATGCGGCTTGCCCGCAAGAGTCCGGCAGGTGCAGGAAAGGATGGGTTGGGCAATCTCCCGGCAGCTGGGCAGGACAGTGCAGACGAACAGCGAATGGGTTAACCTCAGAAACTACATGACCACGTACATGCTGCACAAAGATCTGGATGTGATGACGTACCATGAGTTCAAGAAGATGACCTTCAAACCAGGCGAGCACCCGAACCTGTCCAAGGTGGCCATGTGGGATCAACTCAAGGACAAGGATGTCGTTCGCACGGGCATCATTCGACACAAAAGCAGCAAGGAAAAGCCCGGTGCATACATCCCGAAGATGAGCTTCGCCAAGAAGCATTCCGACATCTGCCCACAACCTGCGTTGGACACTATTCGAATGCAGTTTGACGAGGAGCACGACATCGGCTTAGCAAACAAATATGCCAAGAGCTGCCGTGGTCGAAGTCTGAATGTGGAAACCATGAAGGCTTTTTGCAAGGCCATGTTTCCTGCCGCCAAAAAGGGGCGCCGCAACGCAGAACAAGAAGATATCATGCAGAAGTACCAGACGCTTCTTCGGAAGCTTGAAGACCATGAAAAGTCCCTCAAGAATGTTCTGGCCACGAAGCAGGGAAGAAGATTGCGGGCAAAAAGGTCGGTGGAGGAGGACGAACATGAGCTGGCCAATCATGACTCACCGGACGGACGAAGCTGGAGTTCTTTGAAGCAGAGTCGAACCACGTCACATGGATACTCCGACAAGATAGCGTACACTGTGCGAGCAAGGCGCTACACCAGCAATGACGGAGCGCAACCTACCGCCCGTCGACTGCAATATCACGTCGTTGATGGTCACACAATTGATTTGGACATCCAGAACTGCTGTCTTACATTGCTGCAGCAGATCCTTGCCGAAATTGCGCCGCAACCGCCTATGCCTGACAACCTTGTCCAACTCCTGAACCGTCTGCTGAAGGATCGGACGGCTGTATTGAAGCAGCTTGGTCTCCACATCGTCGAGTCAAGCAAAGCCTTGTAAAGCCTACGTAATACCGAACTAAACAATAAGAAAATCTTATGGCCCTACGCCCTAAAGACCACAAACCCGGCCCTTAACCCTAAACCTCGAGCTCTCAAAGGCTAAACCCTCAAAAACCGTGTGATAAAGACATGCTTGGAGCTTCAAGGGGAGTGCTTAGGTGGCTCACAAGTAGGGTAGCTATTGGTATAACCCACCCTCAGGGACTTTACAAAAAACCAAATCCTTTAAACCCCAGCCTAAACCCTCAAACCCCAAACCCCTAAGCCCCAAAGCCCTAAGACCCTAAACCCCCAAAGCCCCAAAGCCCTAAACCCTAGCACCGAACCCAGTGCCTGAGGTCTCCTACGCCTTCGAGGAGGGAGAGCGCTGTCCTCCCCCGGCTTCTGGGCGCGCAGATCAGCCCTAAGACACACTTTAGGCTTTAGGGCTTCAGGGTTTAGGGCTTTGGGGGTTGAGGGGTTTAGGGCTTAAGGGTTTAGGTTTTAGGGCTTTGCGGGTTTAGTAACTTAGGGGTTTAGAGGCTCCTAGGGGTTTAGGGTTTAGAGGTTTGGGGGTTTCGGGGTTTAGGGGTTTAGGGGTTTAGAGGTTTGGGGGTAAAGGGGTTTGGGGGTTTCGGGGTTAGGGGTTCAGGGTTTAGGGGTTTAGGGTTTAGGGTTAAATGCTCCTAAACCCTAAACCCCTAAACCCCTAAACCCCTAAACCCTAAACCCTAAACCCCTAAACCCGATAAACCCTAAACCCTAAACCCTAAAGCCCCTACAGCCCCTAAAACCCCTAAAACCCCTAAAGCCCCTAAAACCCCTAAACCCTTAAAGCAAAACCACAGCCAGGACTCAGTAGCAGCGCCTTGGCCCTGAACGCGCGAATGCTGGACTCCTTCGGAAGCCCTTTCGACGTGGAGCCTCCCGGCGTGGTCAGGGTTTAGGGTTTCGGGTTTACAGGGTTTAGGGTTTTAGGGGTTTAGGGTGCCCTAGGGCTCATAGGGTTAAGGGTTCCTTGTATGGTTTATGGTTTAGGCTTTACAGGGTTTAGGGTTTAGGG